CAATAAGCAACCCCTGAAAAAATATTTGGGGGGGTGCTTAACTTTTTTCCAGGTGTATATTACACTGTTAGTTATTTAAAACAATTAAACATGACACCCTTTAATTCTCATATCTATTACGTTGTTTGTTATTTAAAACAATTAAACATGACACCCTTTAATTCTCATATCTATTATGTTGTTTGTTATTTAAAACAATTAAACGTGACACCCTTTAATTCTCATAGCTATTACACTGTTAGTTATTTAAAATGATTAAACATGACACCCTTTAATTCTCATATCTATTACGTTGTTTGTTATTTAAAACATTTAAACATGACACCCTTTAGTTCTCATATCTATTACACTATTAGTTATTCAAAACGATTAAACATGACACCCTTTAATTCTCATATCTATTACGTTGTTTGTTATTTAAAACATTTAAACATGACACCCTTTAGTTCTCATATCTATTACGTTGTTTGTCGTTTTAAAACAGTTAAATGTGGAATTAATGAAAGTAATTACTTTTGTCTGTCAAACATCAGATTTCGCTACTGTATAGATTCTTTTGTTACATCTACATTTCTTAATAAATAAATATATCACAATTCAATATTCAACATTCCAGTAGAGTTTAGTCATAACACCATTAAAGATTTGGTTCAAATTATAGCTAGCTTCAAAAGAACGTGAAAAAGTAAAACCTATTTAATGTTCAGACTTAGGAAAACATAGTAACAACATTACTTAAATATTTCACACAAACAACTTAAAATTGACCAATCGCATAGGTCTTGATGAAAAAAAAATTTATCTTCACACAGTTTATTTATACATAATGTAACAATTTTATTTAATGAAAAAAGAATTGAAATCTAAAGTGCACACTTGAATCTGTGTGTGTATATATATTTATTTACTTTCAATACAGGAACTTATCACTTTATAAGACTGGTTTTTATACACAAGTCTACGTGAAACAAATATCAAGGTGAAAAAATTAGTACTACTCAATCTGATTTTTTGAAAATATATAGATTTTGGTCTGTTTAAGTTCCAAATTTAGGAATAATAAAATTCATTACAACTTATTACAGAATTATACGGGAGCTCTCGAACAACAATGGAAGATCTGAGCAATGTTTAGTTTTGCTCACAATCATACTAAAGCAAAAGAATCTTCAGAAACCTCAAGTTCTGTTGGACAAATATTTTTTTAACACAGTTTAATGGGCACCTGTCATACAGATAAATCACACACACTGTGAAAACGTATAATTGAAAGGAATTTACAAAATATTCAATCAATTCTAGACTTATGACAGAAATGGAAACAAGTGTTTACAAAATTAAAAATACGAGAAATCTAATTTTTTTTTATGTTTCGACAACTTTTTTGGAGGCTCTGGTATTGACTGGATGTGTTTGCAGGTAGCAGCTTATAAAGAAACTGAAGTCTTCTTACTGAAAACATAAACAGATTTCTGGTTATTTGAGAAAACACCAGATATTTTTGGTAGTACTAAAAATATTTTCATGCTCAAATTGAGATCACAGAGTAAGCACTCCCAATGTTTGATTTTATATTTTCAGTTTTTCCAGTTGTTTATTTAAAATTGAACAGATAGGCTCTAAATTCTCTTACAGTTAAAGTTTTCTGACCTAAACACTTAGGTATGCACACATAACTATGTTATGTCCAGTTCACTGTTTTCGGTACTCATTACCTTCAAACAAAAGTTTGCATCAGCCAGAGAGGCTTCGGAATTGTCAACTGCTGATGGAAGATCTGATTCGGGCTCCTCCAATTTAGCACGTTTACTACGACCACGATTTCTTCCACCCCCGGATCTTTTACTGCCCTTCTGACGAGAGCGTAACTGCCTTGTAGGGGTTGACCCTTCTTCATCAGCAGGTTGTTCTGGAGACGGGAAGAGAGGTAAGGAAATTAATTTTCTATATTAACTTAGGGATACAAATGCAGATCACAAAAACATGGCTTAAATATGTACTACGTCTTTTTTCGTACAGGATTTTACAACTTTAAATCTTGCTGTGTCCCATAAGATCTTCTTTGAAGCTTAATAACACAAGCCTGTGATAGTTTTATTGTCTTGAAATGTTTACATGTTCTACAGTAATTCCTGTACCCTGAATAAAAAATGACATCCATTTTTCTCCATCATGTACATATTTTGCATAAAACATCATATGTACTTTTACACAAGAGAATCATTTTCAGTAAAATCGGGTCACATTTTGTTATGCTTAAAATTCTGACAACCACTGGCTATAAATTTCTCTAGACAAATCCAGACATGAGAGTCTTATCGATCATTCTAGAACCCACAAGAAACACACCGCTACTATATAAACAGTTAACAGACCACACGACGTGTCATTACTGGATAGTATTTTTTTGTGTGTGCACTCTCACATTTTTTTCTTTTCAGTATTATTTATTCATTGCTGGGCAACAAAAGGTTGTATAAATGGCCCATACATATTATGTTATATTTGTGGTAAGTTTTTTTCCCTTCCTGATTTGTAAAACCTCCTTACGTGATAGAACAAAAAAATTAATATTATTTTCAAAATCTCCAAAAAAAAAGTTTGGAGTCTCTTTGCTAAATGCTGCAAGGTACAACTTCTGATGCTAAGCATGTAGTGTAACTTTGTGTTGGGTAATGATGAAGCCCACCACAAAAAGCCACTGTTGTCCAATATAACAGGATATACTTTCCCAAAGTAACTCACAATTTTATTTAATACTTCATCAGCAAAGCACTTAGAAGCACTTTGTTTTCCCATTTAGAAAAATTTATTCGATGCACCGAGTGTGGTGTGACAGTAATGTATGTTCTAACCAGAGATTTATACATTATTTTTAAATGATGCACCAAGTGTGGTGTGACAGTAATGTATGTTCTAACCAGAGATTTATACATTATTTTAAAATGATGCACCGTGTGTGGTGTGACAGTAATGTATGTTCTAACCAGAGATTTATACATCATTTTTAAATGATGCACCGAGCGTGGTGTGACAGTAATGTATGTTCTAACCAGAGATTTATACATCATTTTTAAATGATGCACAGAGTGTGGTGTGACAGTAATGTATGTTCTAACCAGAGATTTATACATCATTTTTAAATGATGCACAGAGTGTGGTGTGACAGTAATGTATGCTCTAACCAGAGATTTATACATCATTTTTAAATGATGCACCGAGCGTGGTGTGACAGTAATGTATGCTCTAACCAGAGATTTATATATCATTTTTAAATACTCCAACTATTTTTATTTGTTGTTCTTGAAGTAAGGCTATCACATCAAAAGCAGACAGCAGAAAGAATGGCCCATTAATGAAACTTGTTTTTTTTTTTTTAATGACTGAAATAACAGGTTAATAAATAAATATTTTTCTGATGCACTCTTAAAGGCTTTTGATCTTTGAAACAATTTTTATCATATACTATTATGCATAAGCGTATGTGCTATAAAGTGTCAGGAGTCGATAATGACAACAATTTTGTCAGAAATGGTATTGATCTTGATGTTTTCTTAACATCCACATCTGTTTGGATTTAACATGGATAAAAACATATTCCTTTGCTTAAAGTACTGAAAGTCAAGTGTGCACAAAAGGATTCAGGATGTTTCTGACACTAAGGATGAATAGAAGTTCTATTAAACATAATAGGAATTAGAGCAACCGTCTTTATAATAAGCCACTATTCAACAGTTCAGTATTAAGTGCTTAAAAAAATAAACTGAATGCAAAGGACACAACTTGCAATTACTCAGACAGAACAACAACCAGTCCACATATACTGATATGACGTACGGTAAAAACTAAAATACTAGCTAAGAAAAGAATTAAGAATATTATCACCTCGATTACCTTCTTGCAAGGACAAATTAGGGGCAAGGGCCTCTTCAAGATCCAATATTGGTTCTGTCAAGTCAGAGCTCGCCGGTAGCAGGGACTGCATAAATTCATCACCAAACGACGTAAGCGTGGGTAGTGGGTCTGGGTTCTTGGTCTCCGTCTCTAAAAGACCTGAATGTAAAATTTACATGTAAAAAACAGTATCTATCAATGAGGACCAGACTGGAAATCTACATTCTTCTTAAGAATAGTTACTTAAAGTCAATGTTTGAAATACATTTCAGATGGTGGGTAATGACTGATTCTGTACGAGTTACATCCACCCACAACGACTTCAGTGCTAGAATCATCATGTTCTCCAAAAAATGACAAAATATCAGATAAATTCCTGATAAAATGAAAACAGATTTTCCAATGGAACATGTACCATGTTTTAAACAAGATTTAATAGGAGCACCAAATGTTAATTACAGACATTAAGTTCACGTGCACAGTAATAAGAAATAACTATAACATCCAGGCTACCCAATCAGATAATGTACGACACTAGAATGGGTTCCATTGAAAGACAGCTTAGATTTTAACCAAAGGTGAAATGGAAAGTTGTCAAAGCTGGCTTCATACTCCAAGGCACATGTTCCAACTCATCTGCATGCCTTACAAACTAGGACAACCACAGGTCAGCGAACAAAGCTATAAGAAACACAGGTAGGTTTCGACCAAGAAAAGTTGAGACTGGCACCAAAAGAAAGAATATCCAGCACAGTCTGGGGGGGGGGGCACAAAGGAAAGGAAGATAGGAATTATAGAAGGTCTTACCCAGCTGACACCATAGAGAAACTTCTTGTCAACAGACCAGGTGTACTAGTAAATGATGCAAAAATCATCAGAGTCCACATTTAACATCAGGAATGTTTTACCAAACTTTAGGTTTTTATAAAAACCAATTATGGGTCAACTTACAAGTAGTAAGCATGGGTGATGTAAGAAATAAAAAATTGTATTTCAAAAAATATACTTAAATCCAGGTACTGTGTAATTTATACTTTCATACAGTATAACTGATTTTTAAAAATTACTAAGAAAAGTCTGGCTTCTCTGATATCAACAGGTAGAATTGTTAAGAGAAATTTAAATTAGACATCTAAAACAAACAATCTTATAATAATCTATATATTTATTCACTTACTTTTTTAAGATTCTCTACATGCAAACTTAACAATTTCTCACCCAAGTCGAGTTTCTTTTCATCCTTATCATTCTCTTCTCCATCTGCAGCTAGACTCTCAGCCATCATCAGCAGGTCAGCTTCAAAAGGATTCTCCGGGATCTTCTCCTGAATAACAATCAAAGTAAATGATAGATGAAAAACATCCGTGGTCCCAGTCACTTGTATATACCATAATTCCAGATCAAATCAATAACATTTAGTAATATACACACCTTTATTCAAGATATTTTTTTCAAAGTATACGATGTTATTAATTATTTAAATTACTTCAACAACTTGTGTCACATTTTGGAAATAAAATTAGTAGAAAAGAATTAACTTTATTCTCAAAATAATAATAAAAAAATTTTTATGTTGTTCTTTATTTACTACTAGCCCTGATGAAGCTAGTGGTGAAACTGTGGTTGAAATAAAGTTTTTTTTATTACCATTTTCTATTACTAAGTTTATTGCCAAAATGCCTCCAGCATGCACTATAAGTTCTTAAAAACAATAATTTTTTATCACAACTACATAAGATATGGTTCCCAAATTTATATCCAAAATTAAACTTACCAATAGACAAAATTACTGTAAGCACTTCAATCTTCCTCAAAAAATAAAATGACAAAATTGTCCTTAATTATCAATGGGGAAAAAAAATTGAATTTGGTTACCTGTATTTCTTTAATAGTTTGAACAATGTTATCAGAAGAGTCTTTCGTAGTTGGGACAAAGATAGGAACGGGGATGGGAATTGGAAATGGAAATGGCACAGGGGTGGGTTCACTGTACATTCTCATGGGTGCTGGAACATAAATTGGAACAGGGACTGGAATGACCATTGGAGTAAATATTTTCTCATCTGCAAATAAAAAAATAAACAAACACTTCAATTACTAATGATAAATGGTATTCTATAAAGAAAATATCCAGAAAAACAATAATAAATGATAATTTAATCTACAGACAAAATCTATGGCAAATCTCTTAAAACTGATAATCAATGATTCTTCACAACAAATCTCAGAGAAGTAATAATTAATTATTCTACACAGCAAATCACCTAGAAGTGATAATTAAAGATTGTACACAAAAGAAGGATAATTAATCTATAATAATATAAGTGTGTGACCACCATAACTCCAAAAGAGAAGAACCTAGAAACCTGAAATTTTGCACACATACTAAGTGGACCCTGAGGGTGTGCACTTGGGTGCTGCATTCAAATCTTTTTAATGAAGCAAGCTAATGAAAAACACGTAGAAAAAAAAAGTGTGATCACCATAGCTCCAAGGGGAAAGAACCTGGATGCCTGAAATTTTGCACCCATACTGAGGGTATGCACCTGAGTATTACTTGCCTTATCCACATGCAATCACATATTTTTAATGAGGCAAACTAGCAAAAAAACCACACAGAAAAGAAGTGATTCTTTATATTACAAATATAAATAACATACAGACAGACACTCGCATGCACACTTGTGTCTGTGTGTGTTTGACCCCCATAGCTCCAAGAGGAAAGAACCTAGAAACCTGAAATTTTGCATCCATACTAAGTGGACCATGAGGGTGTGCACATGGGTATTACTTATCCACATGCATGCACATCTTTTTAATGAGGCAAGTTCGTGGAAAACCCCATAGAAAAGAAGTGGTTCCTTATATTGCAAATACAAATCACAGACAGTCAGACATGCATGTGAGTGCTCACATGCACATCTTTTTAATGATGCACGCTAGTGAAAAATCACATAGAAAAGAAATGATTCTTTGTATAACAACATCTAATATATTGAAAAGCCATTGCATTTTGGTAACAATGCATTCCAACAATGGCTTTTATGTCATGTTGCTTAGGAACAATAAGTATAACCTAATGTTGTTGTTAATCTAATTTATACTGAAAGTATAAAATGAAATGTATAAACTACAAACTGCAAAATATTTGTTGATTGCTTAATTTAGAGTCTCTGTTGATTAAAGAGGTTTGTTTTTTATTAAAAGCTTTGGTGATATTACAGAAAATACCTCAATTCAAAAAGGATTTAAACTTAGAATTGGATCAATATTCTTACTTGCATGATACATTTTATGCACTTGGCTCTAGGCTAGATTATCTCACACTATGTCTTTACTTTAAGCTTATTTATTAATTTCTTTAAATCATACCAACATTTAGTACACCAAGGTTTCTTGGCCCCCTTGCACCCCTGTCATTAAAATCGTAATGGGCAGACAGTAATCAAACTATTCTATCTGGCATATCGTTATGTAGATTATAAGAACCTAATAACTCGAGCAAAGAATGGTACTTTCGCTAGTTATAAATAATTCTGCACAGTAAATGTCCTAAAATAGGTAATTAATGATAATGTAGAGTTCACACGTTTTTTTCAAACACAACTCAACCAATTTTGTTCAACTTTTCTATTACTCCAAAATAGTTATCCAGGCTCTTGAAATCAGGAATAGAACACACCAAACATTCAAATTCGATGACGAGGAACCCACTTCGAGACTAACTAGCCATTCAAGCCGTTTCCAACCATTATTAAATCAAACATTCAATAAGAAATGCACATGCAAACTATTATTTGTACACATTCATTAAATGAATATCTTGCTTGTACATCTAACTATGTCACATCCAGTACACATATCTAAAGATACTGACTGATCACATTTTTAGAATGCAAGGTAATACACTTTATTGTCACTAATAAAGAATCACATCCCACTTTCTAAATTTAAGTGTCATTTATATACATCAAATTGTAGAAACATAATACATTGATGTTTTAACAAAACAACCACTACATCTGGCAAAGATGAAGTTATTCTGATTTAATTGCAACATATAATATTTCAACAGATTAGTCCTCAGCAACAAAAGAAAATATTTCATATTTTTGATTGCTCATCTCATGACAATTGACATGGCAGGGAAGATCAAATGTACAGTTTATTCTGCTTATTTCACATACAGACAGGTTTGCCATGTCATCTTCTAACTTTTTCTTGCTTCTTAACTTCTATCTGTTGTTGTAAATGGAAGTATGAAGAGCAACATTTTTGGGTATAAACAGAATTTCAATGCACATCTTTCACTGTTTCAAAGGAGCTTGGTTTAGGATCAGTCAACTGTTTAGTGGCAACTTTTGTGTAGGACTTTCAATAAAATGGAATATTCTCAAACCAGAATTTCATTGAAGACACAATACATTCCACGGTTTCACATAATACACGGGGAATCTTTAAAAAGCCAGTATAGACTTGAGAAACATTTTTGTAACTCCAAATCAATGGTAGAAAATATGTTCTTACAAGCCATTATGAACAATGTGCAGTCTCTAAAGGAAACAGTGTTTAGTACATTGTTCTGAAATCAGTTCTCATTTTTTCTTATAAGTCAAAGAATTTCTAGTAAACATTAAGTCCATCCATCGACACATCAAGAAGACGAGACAGATTGATATCTTTAAGTGAAGAAGTGAAACTGTTTAGCAAGTCTCTAAAGGAAACAGTGTTTAGTACATTGTTATGGAATCAGTTCTCATTTTTTCTTATAAGTCAAAAAATTTCTAGTTAACATTAAGTCCATCCATCGACACATCAAGAAGACGAGACAGATTGATATCTTTAAGTGAAGAAGTGAAACTGTTTAGCAAGTCTCTAAAGGAAACAGTGTTTAGTACATTGTTCTGAAATCAGTTCTCATTTTTTCTTATAAGTCAAAGAAGACGAGACAGATTGATATCTTTAAGTGAAGAAGTGAAACTGTTTAGCAAGTCTCTAAAGGAAACAGTGTTTAGTACATTGTTCTGAAATCAGTTCTCATTTTTTCTTATAAGTCAAAGAATTTCTAGTTAACATTAAGTCCATCCATCGACACATCAAGAAGACGAGACAGACTGATATCTTTAAGTGAAGAAGTGAAACTGTTTAGCAGCATCTGTATCAGCATGTTCTAAGAACAGAAATTTATATTATCATGTTTTCACATTCCCCAAATCCCTAAATATTTGTATGCATCAGTCTTCTTGTTCTGGAATCACAAGCTTTCATCAAAAAGAAATAATCTAAAATGTGGAGTAATTTCACAAATATTATGTCAGTAAAGTATCCGGGAATATCACCCGCAAAATTTGATCAATTTCCTTACATGATTTATAAGAATAATGCTTGTTTCCATCAAAAGTTTATGATTTCAAGCTGTCATTTCCACTTGCAAATGATCCAACAAAGAATCTTATTATAATGGAGTTTGCTATGTACACGCCCAAAACTCGGATCTCGGAAACCACCACACTAATCGTCATCAATCATAACTGGGTAATATTTTTATAACTAAGCAGTATTTTTGTAGCTGAGCAATAAAT